GTAATTGGAAGGAAAGGGGGGGGGGGAAAGGAAGTGAAGCCCTATGTGAATTTTAAGGTAGATCTGTTTCTGTACAAGAGCATTTCTGTGCACTCCTATCTATTCCAGTGGAGTTGTGCACCATCAAATTTTCCAGAGGATCATTACCATCATAAATTAGAGTGTGCTTCCGGGACTCACTGGCACTGGGGGAAGACCAGTTTGCAAGGCACTAATAAACATGGCAAAGTGTAGGTTTGATCAGTCCATCCCGGGGTGAAACAGTCCTCAGGCTGCTGCCATTTTGAGACCACACCACATCTTACTGCATTTTTAACCTTCCTTTTAAGTTACGTAGGCATCGCCTATGTTTTTATCCTGCCGTGCATGTTATGCTCCAGCAAAGTGTGTTATGCTTGGACCTGGAAAATCTCTGGTGTGGAATCACCGAGTAGCCTTGGACACATGGCAATTAGTTCTCGGCTTGGGTCAAGCTCCAGGCACCTGAGTCCCAGGATCTATGGCAGAAACGTCCAGTCTTGACTGGGTCAAAGTCATGGAGAGGAAGCAATAGCTTTGGCAGTGTCATCACATTAGAGCTGAACTGCTCAAACCAAGGGAGCCAACACTTCATAGGACCTGACAGGCCAGAATTGACACTTGGACAGTGCTCAGTCACACTGGCACTGCAGCCTAAATAGCTGAAGTTCAATCTACCAGGTTGCTAGGGGCTCAGAAGACAATACATCAGCTGGCTGCAGGTAGCAGCAGTAGAGCACACACTGAGTGCCTTGCATCTTATCACTGTCTCTCAGCCTCAGTTTTCCAGGGGTAAAAATTGGGACATGAATGGCTCCTAGGGAATAGCCACAAGGGATATTGTCAGTGCCACACGCAGTTTTAGGAAACCTTATGTTAAAAATATACCTGCAAACTTTTAACGGGTAGATTAATAAATTAAAGCTTCATTTAATGAATTGGTGTGAGGAAATTTTAGTTGCTGGTGCTGAGAGTCCAGAACACACTTTTATTTTTAGTAATGCACACTACAGCAAAGGATGAGAAATTAAAAATAATTGAGTTGCCCTTTCCTTTTAAAAAAGGTTGATAACTGTTGATACCACTCTACAAGTTATCTCACACTTGTTCATTCTCCTACAAAGTGCAAGTTAGCATCGTGGACATTTACTTAAATTTAATTGGTTAAAAAAAAGAGTGACTATCAATAAATTGAGAATCCATTATAAAAGTAATACCAAAATAAATAGTATCAATAGAGCTGTGATCTGGCCAGGTCTTCAAGCCATAGTCGTTTCAGTACCAGCTGAACTGCAAAACAGTTTGAACCCCTCCCTCACATGGTCGCAGCCTTCAAAAAGGACTGTTTATCTTGGCTATTAGGCAGTTGGTCAGATAAGAGTTTAGAGCTGGAGGAAGAAAGACTTCCTGTGTATTTAAAGGGCAAAGAATGTGCACAGGTGTCCATAAGTTTTTTAAAAAATTATTTAATATGAAGCGAATAAATAGGTGGGTGAGCTTGAAATGAGCCTGTTTTGCGGACTGAACATTAGCAGTTATAGGGACTTATTCTGCATGGCTCCCAAGACTGTTTCCTTAGCCTCTTCCAGTGCTTCTCAGTATTAGGCCATAGTAGCCTTCTGCAACCTTGAGTCCTTGGGTGTTAGTTGGTCCAAAAATGCCACCATCCCTTACCATTGGTACCCAGCAACATCAGAGGACCCAAGGTTAGAGAAGGCTGGGCTTTGGGGTTGGTGTATGGTGGCAAATAAGGGCCTCATGAGCCTGCCCCGCCCCTCAGCATCAGGATCATCCACACAGAACCATCTCCAGGTTCCGCCAGCCATGAGGATTAACAAAAGGAACCTCTTTGGTTGCGTGAATCCTATTTCTAGGGAGACTTATTGAGTGCTGTTGTCTTTTCTGCAGCAGCTGAAGTCCTTTGCATGTGCCCGGGCCATTTTAAGCATCACTTTAGACTTACAACTTGCAGTTTTAATTCTCTTTAAAGCCACAACATTTTAGCTGCTCTGCTGTTTACATGACCATATTGTTTCGTTGATTTTTATTGTTCTAATGTTGAGCTAAATTGTTTTGTTAGCCACTCTGGGCATCCTTCGGACTCGAAGAGCGTGATGCAAATATTCCAAATAAGGAAACGGTTGTGGCTTTTGGGGCTTGGACACCATTTCGAATTTCACTAAGTATGTGAGCAGGGGGTTGCAGGACTCATGGTATGCTTCCAGGTGCCCTGTTGTTCAGGAGTAAATTGAGGGGAGAGATATGTATTTTGAAAACACTTACCGTAACTATAGCAATGACAGATCCAGGGATTTGGCCAACAATACAGCTGCTCCCTGGAAATAATCAGGTGTAGTCTGAAATAGAGGGGAGAGAGAAACTTCCACTCCCAACTTCCTGAAGGATTGATGCCTTTTATTTGTGGGGAGCAACATCTCCCTAGGAAGACCAAAAGCATTTTAACTCTGTTCCTTTTCCTCCCTCTGATCACTTTTTCATGATCCCTCTCAGATGTATGATGGCCAAATCTGTTGGGTATGCTTCAATTCCTACCCTTGCTCTTGTCCCTTCTCTGCAGATTTTAATTTTTTATCAATTTTACATTAAGTTGATATGCCTGCTTTTGGTGGGCTGAGTTCTACCCGCAAGGTTAAAGAAGCTATTGAGTGCACCCCTAACCAAATTAAAATGGCTCATTGTAGGCCACTCTTTAAAAATTCTCTCTCTGGAGGAACAGAGTTGGCATACCTGGTTGGATAGGGGTACAGACATGGTTCAGAAGAAGCCATAGTCAGTGGTGACAACCCTCTAGCTTTCTTCAGCATCTTGAGTTGTTCACACATTCAGCAGGTGTGTTGGAAAAGCCAGTAACCTCTGGCTCCAAGAAGGTTTTGGGCACTTTTCATTTTTAATCCCAAAAGAAGCGATCATGTAAACACAAATCCGAGAGGTATAATTCACAGTTTCACAGAAACCAACCATATCCTGCACATGAACCAAGGCCGGTCCTGCTAGAAGTATGTTCAGCCCACGAGTTTGTCTTTGGTACCAGAGCTAAGCTCAGTCCTTTCTTGGTTTTCTGCAGTTTTCTTCATTTCAGCAGAATAAAGGGGGGTGCTTTTTGTTGGTTGCTATTGCAAATCATCAGTAGATCCTGATCTACCTCCTGCTCATTCCTTCCATGCAGTTTCCTAACATTATGGCTACTGTAGCCCCAACTAGTGACCTTGAGGAAGGTGTTATATCCATGAGCCTGGCTAGCAACCAATGCTGACCTAGAAAATGTAGGATTGGAGTGATCAAAGCAGCCCCTAGGACCCAAAACCCCCATCTAGTGCTGAGAAGAGGACATAATGCAGAGCAGAATGACCCCAAATCCTCCCCCATTTCATAAGGACTAAGATACCAAAGGTCCAGAACAGTTGCAAAGACAGCTGTTGAGAAGCTGTGTCGCCAGTTATTCAAGGTCCTCTATTCTCACTCACTGTAGAGGAGGCAAAAATGCTGAGCAAGTGCTAGACTCCAGGCCAAATCACTACCACCTTAAGAGATCCACTCTTAACTAAGGGTGTGTGGCTTAAGGACCTGCCCAATGAAACCAAGTTCAGGCTAGATCTGCTTTGGAGGTTGTTGCTACAAGTCTTCTACTTGGGAGCTATCCCTAGTCTTGCAGATAAGGGTACCCAAGTCTTCTATTTGCTTTCCCTGTCAAGACAAGGACAATGCACACTCACACAGTAGAAGCACTGAAGAAAAGTGGGATGTTATTCTGAGTAGGCTAGCACTGTAAATTGTCCACTGTAGAAAAGCTCGCAGGCCAGTGAAAGCCAGAGTTGCACCAATCTCATGGAATCTGGGCACTGGGGAAGATAGAGGACTAAAAGTAGCAAGGAAGAGGCATTGCACATGCCAGAATGCAAATAGCAGTGACCTGAAGTCCTCTGATTGTTCTGACCTAAGATATGAGTGTGACCCAGGAAACATTTTGGCCAGTGGTATGGCTGTCAGTTTTAGCCCATCAGAAATTTAGGAAGGTTTTGTTTCTTCTCTTTGTAAGGCTCCCCTCTCAAACAGGTCCTGGGAAAGTCATACTCAGCCCTAGCCCAGGAGCAGAGAAAGAATATTTTCATCATTAGTCAAGTAATGGTAGAAGAGCAGACATTTTGAGATCAGGGCAGGCGCTTAAAACACCCTGCTTTAAATGTTGTCTGTGTGTGGAGCTGAATGCTCCTGGGTCTTGAGTTTGGGCTGAAATGTCATCTATCTTGACATCATTCTGGGCTGCCAACGGAGACTGTTGGCATCTCCAGGTAGCTCATAGTGGTTCTGTCTCGTCTAAAATCATATTGAAGCTAACATATTTCAAAGTGTATGGAGGGAGGTTCCTCGGTCATATCTTTGACCTGTCATGGTCGCACCTGCTTCACCAACTGTCAACCCCAGAGGTAAAAGATGGGTGCAGATGAACAACATCTGCAACAATGGAATTTGGCAACAAGCCATTTGGAAAATGTGCATGTGATGGATTTGGCCCAACCAACTCCCTTGTCAAAACAGCTCTCTGACAAAGCTAGTTGCTTACCAGTAACAGAGGGTTCAAGGTCCAATCCTTTTCACCGCGGTTGGGTTTATACAACATGTGGTGGACTCTCTTTCAATGGAGGCTTTCAAACAGAGGTTGGATACCTGTCAAGGATTCTTTAGCTGGAGGTTGGACCAGATGTCCCTGTGGTCCCTTCCAACTCTACGATTCTGTGATTCTACAACATTGTAAAAAGTCTTTCCATTTGCAGCCACCTCTCTGAATAAATCGCTTGACCCTATCTGCTTTGCTTCTGGGCTATTTGAACCGCCTGGAATATCTGACATGGGCTTGCAAGCATGGGGTGTGGTCAGTGTTTTGGAGCACTTCTGAACTACCTCCCCTGTCAAGCCGAAGATAATATGTGTGTGTCCATATTTGTCTCCTTTGGTGGCCTTAGGTTACAAGGCAGATCCATGAGCATGAGCAGGAGAACGAGTTGCGGGAACAGATGTCAGGTTATAAGCGGATGCGGCGCCAGCACCAGAAGCAGCTGATCGCCCTGGAAAACAAGCTGAAGGCTGAAATGGACGAGCACCGCCTCAAGCTGCAGAAAGAGGTGGAAACTCATGCCAACAACTCGTCCATTGAGCTGGAGAAGCTGGCCAAGAAGCAAGTGGCCGTCATAGAAAAGGAGGTGAGTCAGGGCATCCTAAAAACGTTGTGGGTTTTTTTGGGGGGGGGTGCAGAAGACTGGGTGAAGATATATAATGTCAGTGATAATCTTGCAGGATGTGATGGCAGTGGGTTTATTGAATTAAGTTCTTCCTACAACAGACAGTAGACGCGGGTGGCGCTGTAGGTTAAACCACAGAGCCTAGGACTTGCCAATCAGAAGGTCGGCGGTTCGAATCCCCGCGATGGGGTGAGCTCCCGTTGCTCAGTCCCTGCTCCTGCCAACCTAGCAGTTTGAAAGCACGTCAAAGTGCAAGTAGATAAATAGGTACTGCTCCGGTGGGAAGGTAAATGGCGTTTCCGTGCGCTGCTCTGGTTCGCCGGAAGCGGCTTAGTCATGCTGGCCACATGACCAGGAAGCTGTGCGCCAGCTCCCTCGGCCAGTAAAGTGAGATGAGCGCCGCAACCCCAGAGTCGGCCACGGCTGGACCTAATGGTCAGGGGTCCCTTTACTTTACAACAGTCAGTCATAAAGTGATCTACAACAGCAAAATACAGTGACACAGTAGAAACTGCACAAACGCATTAAAAAAACAGTCAGAATAAAAACATCCAATCATTGGTGCTCCCCAAATGTCATCTTTTTCAGTGGCAGGCAAAGTTGGTACCAGGCACTCCTCCTTGGGAGGAGAGCATTCCATAAACGCAGAATTGTAGTCCGCACCACTTTAGATTGAATAGAGGTGGTGTCATATGTTTGCATAATCCCTAGTGTAGGAGGCTCTCGGGGTACAGCAAGCAAGCATATTAGGCAGATTTGGCTGTGTTAAGTCAGCGATGTGCTGCTTTTCAACATGTTTTTTCTACATCAGGGCAGTCAAAAAGATCGCACTCATGCATACTTCCATACTAAAATGGCATGAACCAGAATTCTTCCACCTTAGAAGGAAGTTTCAAGTGAGCTGCCACTAGGCTCTGTCCTAGGCCTGATTCTTTCCAGCATTTGAAATGACTCTTTTATCACATCTGCAGATGATTCAGAACCCGGAGGGCTAGCTAAAACCTTAGAAGACCGAAATAAGATTCAAAATGACCTTAATAGAAGAGGGTTAACATTTAAAAATGGGGACAGAATTTAACAGAAACAAATGCAAAGTTCTGCATTTCAGAAAATAATAATAATAATAATAATAATAATAATAATAATAATAATAATAATATGTAGAATAGAAGATGCCAGGCTTGGCAAGTAATGTGTGTGAAAAGGACCTCAGGATTGATGTCTATAACAAGCTGAACATGGATCAGCTCTGGGATGTGTCTTCCAAAGAGGCAAACATGATTTTAGTTTACCTTAATAGAACCAAATCACGAGAAGCATTAGTTCTGCTTTATTCTACACTCAGCGGATCTCCTGTGGAGTATTGTGTCCAGTTCTGGGTGCCACATATTAAGAAGGATGTAGCCAAATTAGAACAATTTAAGAGGAGTACAGTGAACATCATCAGCAGTATGGAAAACAAGACCTGTGAGGAACAATATATGGAGAAAGCTGAGCGGGGAAACATGATGGCAATTTTCGAACACCCCAAGACACAGTTGTACAGTAGGCTGCAAAGGCATAGGGTTGTATCCAGTCCAACTAGTCCAGCTAGTCCAACTCAAAATAAATCCATTCAATTTAATGGACATAACTATTTATCTGTTTATTACATTTATATCCCACCTTTCGTTTAGGATCTCAAGGGGTTACATAGGTTTCCCACCTCCCCATTTTATCCTCACCACCAACCTGTTAGTTAGGTTAGGCTGAGAGGCAGGGACCCATTTCGCTTCTGCATTTTATAGAATTTTTTTGTATTAGTATTCTAAAATTGTAAACTGCCTTGTGTGCCTTGGCAGAAAGCTGGTCTATAAAAGCAAAAAGCAATAAAATTGGTAAAAATGTCCGGGAAAACTCAGGCATATGACAACCTATGTCAGAAGTGTTGATTTGTTGGCGAATTTCCTTAAAAATCATAGAATCATAGAATTTTAGAGTTGGAAGGGACCACGAGGGCCATCTAGTCCAACCCCCCGCAATGCAGGAATCTTTTGCCCAACATGGGGCTCAAAACCCATGACCCTAAGATTAAGGGTCTCATGCTCTACAAACTGAGCTATCCCAGCTATCGAATAATCATTTTCCAACTTAGCTCAATAAGGCTTAATCTAAGAAGACTAAGGTCTAAATTAGTTATGGCCTCTAGGCCTTCAAGTAAAATGTGCAAGAAAAGTAAATAGCTCAGTTCTTTGGAGAATTTGCAGAAAAAGCTCAACAATTTGGCCAAAAACAGCTCAACAACTTTTGTGTCTGGATTTTCACTTTTTGTAATATGGCAACCATACCAGAGACTAGCTATGTGCTGCATGCAGGCTTTTCTTTTAATCTGTCCTGAATATTTCAATTACTATATAGCAGTGCAAAGAGTATGGGAGAAAAAGGGCAACACAGCTAAAAACTTGGCCAAGATGTTAACAGTGCAGTGCCTTTTCTTTCTTTCTTTCTTTCTTTCTTTCTTTCTTTCTTTCTTTCTTTCTTTCTTTCTTTCTTTCCATCCAGGCAAAGGCAGCAGCAGCAGACGAGAAGAAATTCCAGCAGCAGATTATGACTCAGCAGAAGAGAGATCTGACCAATTTCTTAGAAAGTCAGAAGAAGCAATACAAGATTTGCAAGGAAAAGATAAAAGAGGCAAGCAAAACTTCTCTGGCGTTTTATTCTGGGCCAGTAAGAAGCATGCACTAGATAGCAATGTTGTGAAAGAGTTTTGAAGCTATTTCAGTAGTTTGCTCATAATACTATAGGGCTGGACTTCATTGATGAACTTCCCCAATAAATAACCTGATGGGTTGTTCATTGCTGATTTGAGCTCATAATCTTAACCCTCTCTTAAAGGTTTGGGCTAGGCAGTATATTAAAATAAATAACAAGACGAAGTGAAATGCCACACATTTTAAATAACCCATGCTTTAAGTCACCAGTGCTTCTTGATAGAGGAGATGTTTTCACAACTTCTGAAATATGCTTAAGCTAGGATTTTGGTGAGTCCATTGAGAACGGGGAGTTCCTTATATGCAGAGTAGCTGTGTCTTCCTGGGCACCCTTGAGGTGTGAACCTCAAGCACAGATAGTGGACCTTAAAAACTTCCACTATGGATGGTATCTAATGCTAATCCTACTCAGAGTAGACCGATTGAATTTAATGGCTATGAGTAGCTTAGGTCTATTCAATTCACTGAATCAATTCTATGTCAAACTTAGTTGGATACAGCCCTATATAAGGGCTCTGTTCCCTTCCAGCACATGTCAGAGGCAAGTTGCTCATTAGGAGTTCTCCATGGTGCTGAATCCACCACTCTGCCTTGCTGTGTGGACTCCTCTGCAGGACCAGAATAAAATAGGGAGTTTGTAGGGAAGCAAGAAGATTAAACCTCCCCCATGATAGCTGTGTTTCACATGCATACAGATAAACACACCTGATTGGAGATTACAGCTCAGCAGCAGGGGAGAAGGAGTGTGTTCCACTGCCAGGTTGCCCAAGGAGGAAGAGAGCCATTGCTTCCTCCGTGGGCAACTCCCTGCATTTCTGTGCTGTGCCACTGGGAGACTCCTTACTCAGCAAAGAGGCCAAGCCAGCTGCCCATAAAAGAAGAAATCCCTTTCATACTGTGGCTTCAGAAAAGGGAACCCTTTTCTCAGCATGGAAGCCAGACAAACTGAGAGTGCAAATGGAGTGTGTGCATGGATGGGATGTCTGTGTGTGCCTTGGCCCTGCCCATCAACGGCATGTGCTACGTGACCCCTTTGACGCATGCATACATACATCATTTTATTTGTGTGCCATCTTTCCACAGTTAAAACTATGCTCAAAAAGGCTTACAACATGCAAAAAATAAATACCGTATTTTTTGCTCTATAAGACTCACTTTTTCCCTCCTAAAAAGTAAGGGGAAATGTGTCTGCGTCTTATGGAGCGAATGCAGGCTGCACAGCTATCCCAGAAGCCAGAACAGCAAGAGGGATTGCTGCTTTCAATGCACAGCGATCCCTCTTCTGGCTTCTGAGATTCAGAATATTTTTTTTCTTGTTTTCCTCCTCCAAAAACTAGTTGTGTCTTGTGGTCTGGTACGTCTTATAGAGCGAAAAATACGGTAAATGCAGAATTTGAAACGCAACAAAAGTAGTCATAAGCAATAAATAAAACATCCAGAAGTACACAACCAAATGGAACAATTTCCACATAAAATCATAATAAAGATACAAAATAAAGATACAAAAATAATATCAATAACACACACACCAACAAAAAACCCTAAGCAATAACCCAGTCCAAGAGTCTTTACCCAAAGAAATGCAGTCTTCTGGAGTGGAGGGTGGGGTGATTCTCCATACTTGCTATATGGGTTGTGCAAATTAAGCTAACATGCAGAACATCTCCTATATTTGCCTGATTTATTCTCCTTCTGTTACTAATTGAGAGGTGCTAGGAGCTATAAAGGGCACTGAAGTCTTGTTTCCTTCATGGATTCCAAGATTTCACTGAGCGTTGCCCATAAACTTTCAAGCACATCCTTACAATCAGAAGGCATAATATTTTGATTTATGCGGGGAGTGGGATTATGTTCCCTAGGAAGAAGTAGGAATAGAAAAGGGGGGGAAATGCCTTGAGGTTGCGGTGGTGGATAAATCTAATATGGCTGCCTCTGGGTGCTTCCACATCATCAGCAAGAATCCTGACTATCCTGGACAAAGATGGGAAAAACAGGAAGTAAGAGAAGGCGGGTGGCACTGTGGTCTAAACCACAGAGCCTAGGGCTTGCCGATCAGAAGGTTGGCGGTTCAAATCCCCGCGACAGGGTGAGCTCCCGTTGCTCAGTCCCTGCTCCTGCCAACCTAGCAGTTCAAAAGCACATCAAAGTGCAAGTAGATAAATAGGTACCGCTCTGGCAGGAAGGTAAACGGTGTTTCCGTGCGCTGCTCTGGTTCGCCAGAAGCGGCTTAGTCATGCTGGCCACATGACCCGGAAGCTGTCTGCGGACAAACGCCGGCTCCTCGGCCTATAAAGCGAGATGAGTACCGCAACCCCAGAGTCGTCCACGACTGGACCTAATGGTCAGGGGTACCTTTACCTTTACCTTTAAGAGGAGGCAAGTTAAAAAATAAAGAAGAACCTTATTGAGCTTCGCAACCCAGTTTGCTTACACCTTCCACTGTGGAATGATTGGGGCTTACCATTCCATGAAAAACTTGTCTTTAGTGGGACAAGATTTGATTAGCAAAAGAGGCCCCTTACCCTGCAGTGACATGTCAGTGTGGCTTCCACTGACAATGCCAACCTTAGCAGTGGGTGGCCTGAGGCCACTGCATGCTTTCTGTCCAAAATACTCATCTGGTACGCTTGGCTTTATGAATGTACGGAAGTTCCTCTGGTGTCTTAATTATCCCATATCCTTGAGGCATTGCTAGATATAATTCGGATTGACTTGAGTGCCCAGTTAAAGCGAAGTCCACATAATGCTGCCCTTTAAATGACCTTTTGGTGTTCATTTACATCCATGGAAGGAGCTCCCATCCAGTCTAAAGAGTAACCATGATGCACACCTAAATGGAGCTCCTGTTAGGATGAAATTTATCTCCTGGTTTAAATACTGTCTTCCCTGGGATCCCTTGCAAATGTTACTCTTTGAGAGAAATGTCCCAAACATAAAACACCTTTGGGTGTTTTATCTCTCATCTGGTTCCTTTAAAAAAAAAAAGTCACTTGTTCAGCGTTGAAAGTTCTTCAACTCCCAATACACTCAACGCCACTTACATGACGGAAGTAGTACGATTTTTGCATATAGGTTGTAATGTGTAATGAACCTCCAGTTGTTTAAATTACTCTGGTTAGTATGTGCTAGTACAGGCATATTATAAATTATATGTAGGAAATAGAAAACGTGCCATCCCTCATATGGGTTTGGCCACCTGCAAAGCAATCCTCAAGTCTATCAAAGGACAACACAAATAGGTCAGCCTACTGCAACTTGTCTATCACAGTGGAAAGGGATACCTGAGGGTTGTACTAGATAGAAGAGCAAAGCTTCACAGAGTCCTTGACAGTCAAACTATAAAGTCCTCATTTTCCCTGAGGGGGGTAGTTAAGGGCTTCTGTTTAGGGAAGTTTTTAATGTTTGAAGTTTTATTCTGTTTAATATTCTGCTGGGAGCTGCCCAGAGTGGCTGGGGAAACCTAGCCAGATGGGCGGGCTAGAAAATTATTATTATTATTATTATTATTATTATTATTATTATTATTATTCTGCACACACCCACGTTTTAGTACCCACCTAAAAATGCCACATGTGAATATGTTAAACTGTATTTAGAAACAAGTGTACCATACAAAATGCTCTCTTTCAGATAGAATTGGGACTCTGTGCTCTGAAATCACTGCAAACTTCTTTTTTAAACTTCCTTTTAAAAAAACCAACCCTGCTTCACTAAATATCTGCAGCTAAAGAGCTTTTAGGATAATTGCATTAACTTCCTAAGCTGCACTGCTTTTTCCCCTTTGTGGTTCCCCTGCACAAGTCTATTTTAGGCACTTGTCATATATTGTGCAGACTCAAAACTACTTCAGTCATCCAGCCTCCAGATGCTGTTACTGTTCTGTAGCTGAGGAAATAAAAGGCATGAGAGAAAGTTTTCATTAAGAATCACAGGGAACCCTTAGCAGTGATGGACTTTTTAATTCCACGTCCCACTTAATACTGATCTTAAGCACACACAGAGAGAGAAACAGCTCCTGTTCTCCAGATTATTAAATGCAGAGCAGCTATCATGCCTGAGTCCTGTATTCACAACTCCTAAAATAGATTATAACTGAGATATGCCATCACCCACATGAAATGCACACATATGAGCCAGACCCCTGGAAATGACCCCTGGGCCCCAGAAATAAGCAGCTTTGAAAGTTGTGATACATAGCCAAGTGACATTTGCCATGTCTCTTGCACCACTCCCAATTCAACCTTTTGAGACAAAGTTCAAAGTTCACCTCTGCCCTTAATTCACTGAGTGGCTATTGGCAAATCACTTTGCCTCCAGGCTCAAGACCTCTTCTGCAACATGAACGTTGCAGTACCTTATGGGGATGTCCTAAAGGTTTCTAAAATAGTGTCTATCAAACACACTACATCAAATTCCTCTGGGAGTCCCATGCATCCTATTTCTGATAGAGGCAGCCTGAATGCTACAAGGTTAGCGTTGGCCATAGTCATGAATGAAATGCTGGTTTTGTAGCTTCAGGTGAACGAAACAGCTGCACAGCACTCAGCTTCTTCTGCCAAACCAATGAGATTTCCTCCTTTTCCGGTTGAGGTGCCTCATTGCACGAGGTGTTGGGGCATAGTTTTGTTTAGTTGCAAGCTCAGCGGTGTCTGCGTCTTGCCTGCGTACTGGCCAAGGAAAAACTGGAGATGAGGCAGGAATTTTCTGGGGCAAGACGTAGACATTTCTCGTGTCCTTTTTGGGATTTTAAAGAAAAATGATAGAGTTGTTAAAGAGAGAAACGCAGAGGCTTTGGCATACTTCAGCAGCCAATCACCCAACCTTGTGGGCATGTGGCAGTGGAGGGAAAAGGGCTTAGAACCCCTGCGTGCGTCACCTCCCAGTCACATGCTTCCACATGCAGAGTTCATCTTTCGGCACATGTCTCTTTCACACTTAAGTCTCTTGAATAGGCATGTATAGCTCCAGTGCAGAAATCCTTGGCTATGATATTGGCCGATTAAGCCACTTGTTGTTTCTCTGGCGCCAAAGCCTGGTTGAAGTCTAGTTTCTGTGATTGAAAAGTTGCCGCGTTATAATAACCCTACATAAACCCCGTTTTCAATGTGATACCATATGTGTCCCTCCACAACTTTCCAAGTGGCCTAAGATTAGAACCAAATAAGAACCAAACATTCAGCGAGTGCTTTTTTTTTTCCCGCCAAAGGAGGCCTGACCTGTTTTTCTTTACTTTGCACTCTTCGCTTCCAACATCTATCAGTTTTATACCACTTTAACTGTCATGGCTTCCCTCTGGGAATTGCAGTTCAGTAAAGGAGAGCCCCATTTCATGTCAAAGATTACTAATTTCGGATTCTGGACTCTTGATTCCAGCCTGGTTTGTGAGCTTTTAGTCATTCTCTCCCCCTCTCCCTCCCCCTCTCTCTCCCTCCCTCCCCCCTCGTCTTTGGAGCTCCTGTATGTTTTGTATAAACTGCTTAGCTCCCAGCAGGGGCATCTTGAGGGGTAATGGGCTTAAAAACCCTTTTGGAAGGGGATTCAAAGGAGGACCCTCTGTTTGCTGTTAAGCTCGTGCAGATGGTAGTAAGGGGGGGGGAGCATCACATTTTTTTGTTTTTTTACCCCTCCCCATCATGAAACCAACAAATGACTTTGTTTCTTGGCCTTTCCTCTGTGCACGTCCAGGAGATGAACGAGGATCACAGCACACCGAAGAAGGAGAAGCAAGAGAGGATTTCCAAACACAAAGAGAACCTGCAGCACACACAGGCTGAAGAGGAGGCTCATCTTCTCAGCCAGCAGAGACTCTACTATGACAAAAACTGCCGTTTCTTCAAGCGAAAAACCATGATCAGGAGGCACGAGTTGGAGCAGCAGAACATTCGGGAGGTACCACCTCTTACTTTCCTCTCCTCTTTGCCACCCCCCTTTCCCACCCTGCCCCAGTATACCCAGGGAAAATATAAGGTGAATACAGACAACTGCTTGCAACTGGTCAATATGCCATGCTGTTCATGTAACCAACCTGGGAAGCCTGCTGCCTGTATTGTCCTGACAAGAGCTGAATCTTCCCATACTCATGCAACGAGGATGTAGTATCTGCGTCAGAATTTTATTATTGTTTTATTATGGTTTATTACGTTTATATACCGCTCTTCGGCATAAGATCTCAGGGCAGTCAGAGAATAAAATACAGGATAAAAACATAAGTAAAACAAAACAGCAAAACAATAACCTCCCCCCCTCCTTTCCCACATTTAAAAGGCTATAGAATATTAATCGGCCAAAGGCCTGGTTGAAATGGAACATTTTCGCCTGGCACCTAAAAATATAGGTAAAGGTAAAGGACCCCTGGACAGTTAAATCTAGTCAAAGGCGACTATGGGGTGTGGCGCTTATCTCACTTTTCAGGCCGAGGGAGCCGGCGTTTGCCCACAGACAGCTTTCCGGGTCATGTGGGCAGCATGACTAAACCGCTTCTGGGGCAACTGAACACTGTGACGGAAACAGAAACACCATTTACCTTCCTGCTGCAGCAGTACCTATTTATCTACTTGCACTCGCTTGCTTTCGAACTGCTAGGTTGGCAGGAACTGGGACAGAGCAACAGGAACTCACCCCGTTGCGGGGATTCGAACCTCCAACCTTCTGATCAGCAAGTCCAAGAGGCTCAGTGGTTTAGACCACAGTGCCACCCGCATCCCTAAAGATATATAATGAAGGCACCAGGTGAACCTCTGTGGGGAGAGCGTTCCACAAACAGGCACTACAGAGAAGGGCTGTTCTTGTGTTCCCACCCTCTGGACCTCACGTGGAGGACGTGCGCTAAAAAGGACCTCCGATGAGGAACGCAGAGTCCGGAATTGTTTAATTTAATTTTACTTTTCCATATCAATTATATCCAATGAGCAACATAACTCAAGATCAAGGGATACAGCACCAGAATTGCCTTGTGGACCATTAGACAAGCATCCTGTTCTTACAGTAGCCAACCAGATGGGAAACCAGTAAGCAGAACTAGAATACAAGAGCGCTCTCCACTCCTCAGGCTTCCTGGCAACTGGTTTTCAGAAGCATTGCTGCCTCCAGCCATGAAGGCAGAGCATAACCATCATAGCTAGTCGCCATTTATAGCCTTCTTCTCCATGAATTTGCCCGGTCCTCTTTTAAAGTCATCCAAGTTGGTGGCCTTCTTTGCCTCCTGTAGGAGCAAAGCTGGGGCTACACCAGAATCGGCACAAGTGGCTTCCAGAAGAGGAACAGCTCTGTGTGTCTGTGTTGCAGAGAGGAAAACTTTCGGTTAGCAGTAGAGCACATGCTTTGCCTGCATAAGGTCCCAAGTTCAATCCTTACCATCTCCAGATGGAGTTGGGAAGAACCTCTTGCAGAAACCCTAGAGAATCACTACCAGTCAGAGTAGACAATACTGCTCTAGCTGGACCACTGATCTGACTCTGTTTGGCATCTCTGTAATGCAACAATTTCAGTTAATCTGTAACCCGCTCAGCTCCTGGCAAGAGGCACACTTAGGTGTTTTATGTAAGAATGGTGGCCCTTCTGCTATGATATAAATATGGATAGTTTGATGCTTTATCTTTGCATCTCAGTTCATGGCAGAAGTTACTGTCATTTGCATCCTTCCTTCCACTCTGCCTCTATGCTTGCAATCACCTTGTCCTCGATACCATATGTTAATACTCTTTACCATTTGGGAGGTCCATACAAACAGCTTGTTAACTCTAAGTGGTTACATGCACACTGTGGTAAGTTATTAATTGGTGAAAGGGCCTCTGTATTCATTCACTGTTTCCCTTTTTCGCTCTCTTCACATTGCAGGGCGGCAGAAGCTCACAACCGCAGGTGTTAGTGACAATATGCTTGCAAGTGTGAGATGTACTAGGTGCTCCCAACTTGCTTCACTCATCCATTCTACCCAGCTCTCTCGTGATGGCCATTTGTCATTGCAGAGTCTGCCTAGGAGAGGGCATAGTCTGTATGCTATTGTGCCCCCCCCAAAAAAAATCACTTGCAGGGAAGTTTTGCTGCTTTTCTTATTTTAACACATGGAAGCATTAACAGTATGTGACACATTCACTCTTAGATCTGCATTTTGAAGTTGTGTGATCCTTTCTGCCACCTTATTCTGCTGTATGAGTGGACTAAGCCTAACCAATCCAATACATACATGCACCTTTGAGAAAGCCCTTAATGAATACAGCTGGGCTTACTTCTCAGTAGAAATGTGTGCTATACCTAGTGAAGGGTTTTTGCGACAAGAGGGCGAGCCAGGAGGTGGTAGAATCCCCTGGCCCAAGTTCTCAGGACAGCCTTAGGGTGGCTGTGTGTCCTGCATTACAGAAGACAGCCGTTTATTTGTTTGTTGCATTTGTATCCCACCTTTGCCTCCAAGAAGCTAAAGGTGGCCTGTATGGTTCTCACCCTCATCATCTGAACCCCACTGCGATTATTATGATTGTTTTACTATTGGGTTGTCTGTCGGTATGCTTTTTACTATGTTTTTATCATTGATGTTTTGTAAGGTCTTTCTAATGTTGTACACCACCCTGAGATCTTTTGATATAGGGTGGTATATAAATTGAATTAACAACAACAACAACCCTGTGAGGTAAGTTAGGCTAAGAGGCTGGGATTGGCCCAAGGTCACCCTGTGAGCTTCATGACCAAGTGGAGATTCGAACCCTGGTCTCCCAGTTTCTATTCCAACACTCTAAATGACTACATTACATTGGCCATCTGGTCCAGGTCTGACTTAAAGATAAATAACCATAAAGAGACAGAGCAGGAGAGGTCTTGAAGTTGCCCATCCATAGTTAGGAACTGGAGAGCAGACTGGGCAGACACGCAAGTCACATTCTTTCCTACAATGTTAGGGTGTAATTTATTTCTATGTAAACCATAGTGATTATTTGTAAATTTGCATCTATCCATTTATGCAAATCTTATGCAAGCATAAATCCTTTTTACTCATCATTTTTTGGCAGTGTGTAAGTGGCCACCCTAGTCTAAGGTTGTGGTACGCCCAAAATTTTCCAGACATAGCCGGTATTCAGCTCCCTTAAGCAGTGTCTGAGCAGAAATTGCTGAAATGTCTAGGAAAGCTAAACAAGTTTGGCCAAAAACAGCTCAACAACTTTTGTGTCCTGATTTTCACTTTTTGAAATATGACAACTCTACCCTAGTCAGCCTTGAACTTGCTAGTTGGACTTTAGCATGTCAGTCCCTCTCAGGTCTTTTAGTACCATTAAGAAAATAATTTTGTCCTACCTTACAGGGTTGTTGCATGGATCATTTGAGATGACATAGTCAAAATGCTTTGAGCATTTAGGGAAGAGGAACAGAATGTATAGGCGTGGAAAGATCCTGCTCTGACTATGTACAAGGGCATAAAGGGCAAATATTTCACCCATATTAACACTAAATCTAGAATACAACATTACCAGATTTGTATCAAAACATGCAAATCACTTTAATCTCTGGTAAAAAAAAGTCACTAATCTGTACTGAATTATCATTTTAAGCATGCATCTTTTTGAGTATTATTTGTGTATTCTGAATTTGCACCTAGCATCACAACTTAACTTTCCACTTCTTAACTGTTTAGCTGGTTTAGTGCTGTATGTCTGGAGAACTCAACTTCACAATATTAACAGCGTGTACCAGCTTACAAAATTCTGGGAGTTTAGGTGATGTTGTGCAATAATTAAGATGCACTAATTTATTAACCCAAAGCATGAAAGTGTCTTTTTGAATTCTAGAGAAATGGAAGCTGTTGGCTTCATCTTGTAAATGTTCTGACACCATGAAGCTGTTCTAATTTGAAACAAGCTTACTTGTGTTTCACTATCAAATGATGAAACGGTAGGAATCAGGTTGTATGTACACCGCAGTACCAGTTCCACAGAAGAAAAGACATACAGTAAAATGTAGATGTGGAATTAACCTTCCTGTAAGTGTCTAACCTTGCACTTAAAAAGAAACAGCAAATTTCTGCAGAAATATGCTTGGAAGCACATGGTGACACCTCAGGAGACAGAAAGCCTATATCTGGGGGAAGGGAAGCTGTTCGCTACTCAACATGATGACTAGCAAAATCAGAATTAAAAAATGCAAACTGTACCATGCAAAATGATGTTTTGTCCCCAGTTTCCATATTTTTTCCAGCTTTACTGGTTGCACAATTATTACTTTTTAAGATACCACACACAAAGCCTACATTCAGCTCTTAGCATATTGCATAGGAAGAACTTTCTAACAATGTGAGCTTGTTTGGCAGTGCAACAGACTACCTCAGAAGGTGGTGGATTTTCCTTCATCGGAATTTTTGAACAGGTTGGATGGCCATCTGTCAGGGAATCTTTAGCTGTGATTCCTGTATTGCGAAGATTTGGGCAAGATGACTCCTTGAGGCCCATCTGCAATTCTATGATCTGAATTTGAAGGGCCAAAGCTCGCTAAATACTACAGTATCTTGTGGCTCAGCACATTCCGAATGAGATCTGTGGCAGTGATCTGGGACCACACCATGATTTCCCCACCCCATCTCTCCATCTTTGGTTCAACAGCAGAATAACTGCTTGGAGCTCTGGTTTGGCACTAGCTGCTTATAAGATTGGGAGCAGCCGGCTGGATTTGTGCTCCTTCATATGAGGAATATCTTCACAGGATTGTAAAACCGATCCCAGGAACAGAACTACTAGAGCTGTCAGTTGTCAGAGCCTTTGGGCGAAGAGGGGCCATTCTGGGTAACAGATTTGGCTGCGTCACTATGGCACACCTAGCAATTAGGATTCATTCAAAGGAAATGAACTAAAGAAGTAGGATGCAAACACCCGCTCTCAGCATTTTTGTTTGAACTTGAATCATTGGAAGGGGAGGGAGGGAGCTTACTTTGCATAATGGATTTGGGCGGGGAATGATGGAATGAAAACAAGGGTGTGTGGTGGATATGCAGGTGTGTTGAGTGCATGTCCATTGAAACTTTTGTCAGCGGCTCTTCTCTGTTACTCAGAGGGCAGAATCTCCCAAGGAACTGAGAAGCAGGCGAAAGATGTGGCTGGGTGTGGCCCGGGGTTCTGGCTTAGAGAGTGATGACTGGTGGACTGAAGGTTAGGGATACAAGGGTGGAGAATGCTCTTTTATGTATCAAAACACACACAGGAACAAAGGTTCTGGAATGGCCCCCAAAGTGGAATGGCAAACTTTTGTGAAAATAAAAATAAAAATGCCATTGAACGTTAATAATGGCTCGCAGGTCCCTTAAATGGTTTCTCCACCTTTCTGATTAAACAGCAACATTGATGGGAGTCCCTCTTAAAATGCTTGTTCTCCATATGCAACACCAACCACAGTTGTACAGTTGAAAAAGAAAAAAAGGAAGCCAGGCTGAATTTTCTTCAGTGAAAAGTGTCCAAAGTGACAAGTTACAGGTATCCTGGCTCTAAAACAGAGCTCATGTTACTCCCGGTTGCCACCTACTGGCCAGTTTGCAGAAGTCCACAGCAGAAAAGATGCACGGACATCGTGGAGAGAAGGAGCAGGTTTGCTTTGGGACTCTCTTGCAAGCCCCCAACAAAGCAGGTAGGAAATAGGTGCAGCAGAGGCAACGAGCGCATTTCTTCACACAATGTGCAATAAACACAGCAAGTTCGCACACTGGCTTAGGTCTCTTTCAAGAAGGAGTAGGTATGCTCATGGAGAAGCAGGTCTGTCAGTGGCTCTTAGCACAAGGAACTTCTCAATGCAAGCTGCTGGGGGCAAACAGGAAGGGAAAGCCAGCAATCACATACCTTACTTGTGAGTTCCCCAAAGTTTCTGTCTGACTAATATCGGAAATGCAGGACTACATGGACCTTAGTTCAGTCCAACAAAACATTTTGCAAGTCTCCCAAGAGCCCTGCCATGGACACTAGGGTAGGCTGTCGGTCAAAAACATTGCCCTTTTTTTTTTACTACGCATGAGAAATTGGGGTTTGCTGCCTCGCTTGGGATCGCACCTGACCCCTTCCCCTTATGCCACGCAGGAACTGAACAAGAAGAGAACGCAGAAAGAGATGGAGCACGCCATGCTAATCCGGCACGACGAGTCGACGCGCGAGCTAGAATACAGGCAGCTGCACACGTTGCAGAAGCTACGTATGGACTTGATCCGGCTGCAGCACCAGACGGAGCTTGAGAACCAGCTGGAGTACAACAAGCGGCGGGAGCGGGAGCTGCACAGGAAGCATGTCATGGAACTGCGGCAGCAGCCCAAAAACCTGAAGGTTAGTAACTTGGCGAGGGCTGCGGTCTAGCTGGGATATAGGGATAAGCGGTGCAAAGTCAACTGCTTGACCTTAGCCACCCTGCTAATTCCATGTGTGTGTGGCAGGGATGGGGAATCTGGTCTCCCAGATGTCATTGGACTGTGGTTCCTATAATCCCTGACTATTGGTCATGCATGTAGGGAAATGGGAGTCCAGCCACCTTTGAAGTGCCGTATGTTCCCCCATCCCTGGTGTTTGGTGCTGTTAGCACATCCATGCCACCATTTTGACGCCTGTTCATATATTCATTCAGCAGAGAAAGGCTTACTGGTGTCAATAGCTCAGGAGTCGTTCACTTACAGTTACCTTCCATCATAGGAGCCAACTCCTAGGGAGCGAGGTCCCTTAGCGCCCCCCCAAAATTTGAAGGGGTCAGCCCCCCCAAGTTAATGGGCATTGTCATTCAAATGGAGTGCGTGTGGCATATCATGTGATCAATTATGTGCTTACCTGCCCCCCGGATATTTTATTAAGTTGGCACCCCTGCCTTCCATGGGATCTGGTAACTGCTCTTCTCCACGTGAAAGGGGAAAAGCAGATAATTATATCACACAAAAAATAGCAAATAGCTGAAATTATGAGATACGGGTTCGAGACAGGCAATAGTTTCGTGGAGAAAGCAGCTTGCAAGAGAGGCGTGGTTCTCTCGAGCACAATTTGCCCATTATAGGGATGTTACATTTTCTTTAGTGTAAAGCTTCTGCATGAATAGCGTACCGTCTTAAATAACGTCTAGGGATATGCAGATAACGTCAATGTTTAAATAGCCACGTGTAACCTCACCCAGAGTTGTTGCCTTCCATTGCAGGCCATGGAAATGCAGATCAAGAAGCAGTTCCAGGACACTTGCAAAGTGCAAACCAAGCAGTATAAAGCACTCAAGAACCACCAGCTGGAAGTGACTCCAAAGAGTGAGCACAAAACTATTCTGAAAGGCCTGAAGGACGAGCAGACAAGGAAGCTTGCCATCCTGGCTGAGCAGTACGAGCAGAGCATCAATGAGATGATGGCATCGCAAGCGGTGAGGGCAGCTCTGGGCTCCACACACACAAACCCCTCAAATGGTTCCATATTAACTTGGGTGGCCATGTGTCCTCTTTTTCCAGGACACGTCCTCTTTTTCAGGGTAAAGTTTCTGTCTGGGTGGATTTTTTGAAAATTTGCCAAAATGTCTCTGGCTATACTTTCTGGATGAGACATAGTCATAACTGGATGCTTGCTTTCCTCTTCTCCTGCCCCCCTCAGTAATATGTCACAGTTTCTATAGCCTACATATAAAATGAGAATCAACATAGTGTCCTCTTTTTTGCTCTTCAAAATATTAACAAGCACTGGTGGTCACCTTACCTGTGGTGAGAACTGATGGCGGTTTGCTGTTGTTTTTAGTAATATTTGCATATTTTTATTCTTTCCTTGGGATGCGGGTGGCGCTGTGGGTTAAACCACAGAGCCTAGGACTTGCCGATCAGAAGGTCGGCGGTTCGAATCCCCGCGACGGGGTGAGCTCCCGTTGCTCGGTCCCTGCTCCTGCCAACCTAGCAGTTTGAAAGCACGTCAAAGTGCAAGTAGATAAATACTTGCTGGAGCTTGCCGCTCCGGCGGGAAGGTAAACGGCGTTTCTGTGTGCTGCTCTGGTTCGCCAGAAGCAGCTTAGTCATGCTGGCCACATGACCCGGAAGCTGTACGCCGGCTCCCTCGGCCAGTAAAACAAGATGAGCGCTGCAACCCAGAGTCATCCACGACTGGACCTAATGGTCAGGGGTCCCTTTACCTTTTTATTCTTTCCTTTTCCTTAGTTTCATTTCATTTCCCCTCCTTTCTCTTTCCCCTCTTTTCTCCTTTCCTTTTCCTGGTTTTATTTTCAAATTAATTTAAAACAAAAACAACAACTAACAGCATGTGCAGTCCTCGTCAAGCTTGTTTGTAGCAGGTTTACACACCGATGATCAAATAATATTTTCAGATTGCATACATTGGTATGTGCACATGTGAAGTTTAAAGCCCCAGTTGCACACAGCTGTAATAGCCAGATACCTTCAGGATAACCAAGCCCTGAGGGATAACTCGGTGGGTAGACCATGGGACTCTTAACCTCAGGGTCATGGGTTTGAGTCCCACATTGGGTGAGAGATTTCTGCATCGCAGGGGGTTGGATTAGATGACCCCTGAGGTCCCTCCCAATTCTGTGATTCTCTGAAACAAGCGTGAATGGATGGGGGGGGGCCGATGAGGAAAACACCTTTTGGCTGAGCTCATGGCATACCTTGGAGTGTTCAGAAACACTTCTAAGTTCTGGGAGAATAAAGCAGGTGCCAAGAAATGTTGATGACAGGCTGTGAGCTGGTGTAGTAACATAATGGCTGAGATACTGAGCTGCCAGCCAGGAGGTTCCCAGTGTGAATCTTAGCTCTTGCCATGACCTCACCAGGTGACCTCAGGCAAGTCATACTCTCTCAGCCTCATCCCTTCCCCATCTGCAGTATGGGAGATTTAAAAAAGACCGACTTGCTTTCGTGGCTGCTGTAAGGACTGCCGCTAGGCAAGGTGTGTGATGCACTTTGCAGTGGCTCTAGATGCAGGGGAAGCTGTGTGGGCAGGATGGCCAAAGGAGAGCTGTGAGAAGGCGGCAGAAGCCTGGCAGAAAGGCAGGGAAAGGAGATTGGGAGCGGTGAAAGCCCAGGTGTAATGGGCATGTTTGAAACTCCATGCAAGGTGAAAGGAATGAAAAGCAATGTGTGTGTATGAAAGAAACAGGAGTGCTGAGCAGCAAAGGATTCTGGGTGTTGGGACTGGAGCCACAATGATTGGATGAGGCAGGACTGAGTCTGCCAGTGGTAGGGAGCCTATGGCAGCTCCCCTGATGCTGTTGGGCTCCACCAACCATCAGCCCCTGAAAGCATGGCAAAAGTTAAGAGTTGATGGGAGCTGCAGTCCAGCAGCTTATGGAGGGCTACAGGCTCCCCATCTGTGGTCTATATACAGTGGAAGAGAAAGGGACTTAGGGGGAAAGGGGGGGGAGACAGTAAGAGAGAGACATGCTGGGTACAGACCTCATCCAGGGGGGCAGAAGGGGTTTGTGGGCCAATGGCAGGAAGGGAGCTTTGGAGTCTCGAGGCAGTGGGCCCAACTTTAACTTTACTTCCCCAGATTATAGTACACAGTTAAGGCTTCTAGGCTGGCCATTTCAACCAGAACTTTTTTACATTTTCTCCCCCTTTGGGGCATGCATCTTCACAGCCTGCCTAAACAACTGTTGTTGTTGTTATTGTTTATTTGCTGTTGTGCCCAACCCTAGAGCAGATTTGACCAGCAAGCGCCCTTAACTTTGCAAATGATTTTGTTGGTTTTTTGGTTTTTTTACACCCCCAGCTGCGGCTAGATGAGGCTCAGGAAGCGGAATGCCAGGCCCTGCGGTTGCAGCTTCAGCAAGAGATGGAGCTGCTGAATGCCTATCAGAGCAAAATCAAGATGCAGACGGAAGCACAGCATGAGCGGGAACTCCAGAAGCTGGAGCAGAGGGTGTCGTTACGCAGGGCACATCTTGAGCAAAAGGTATGGCAGGGGTTGGGCCGTTGCCAAAAAAAAGCCAGGAAAGGAAGAACTGGTGGGGGTGTGGAGTTGTGCATACTGTCCAGGTGCATCCCGCGCTCTGCACTTAACCTGGTAGGGGCAACGCATTACATCTCCCTAAGTACCAGGATCCTAGCAGGATCAGTTCCTTGTGAAGAGAATACGGGAGCCTTAGCAATTACTCCCGGTGGTATTTTTTAAATTTATTAGTCACCTTTTCTTGCCACGGCAACTCAAAGCGACTTACAGTGTACACATACATAGATTAAAACCAGCATCAAAAAAGTCTAAAATCCAATTCTATTTTTTTATTATTATTTTTTTTAAAAAAAACTGCATTAAAGCATCCCACCCTTGCCCAAAAGCCATCAGTGTCTAACAGCTGAAGACCGGATTAAAAAGGAACGTATTTGCCCGGCACCTAAAGATATGTAGCAGTGGCACCAGGCAAGCATCCCTAGGGAGAGCATTCCACAAGCAGGGAGCCACCACGGAAAAGGCCCCTTCTTGTGTTGCCACCCTCCAGACTGCCCTTGTTCTCATAGTATCTGCATACTAGCAGATTGAATACAGAGGGACAGGCAGACAGGCCCCTCGGCAGGCATCTTCACAACAGCATTGCTTTGCCAAGCTGTCTTCTGCCCAGTCAGATAAATCAGAAACTGTAAATTGTTTTCTCTCTGGCCTCCAGACCAGTGGTAATAATAAACACTGCATAATGGGCATTTTAATAACTGAGACGAGGAAAGAATTTCCCATCTCATTGCTTTGGTCGTGTTGTGGGCGGGAGGAATATTCCAAACCAACTAGGTAGTTGGCATCTTCGGGTTTAGGAATGGATCCACCCTTTAAATCATTTATGAATGCGGTGAGTAAATAGTTAATGTCTGAACCAACTCTAGTAGGAATAGACTGATAGATTCCTGATCAGACGCCCCATGAGGTTAACTGAATACTAGCGACAGAAAAGGAATAGCACTGCTGGTGCTTATTTGTCATTTGCTGGAGTGCACCAGGGAATCAGATTTCCTGACTGCTAGACGCATCGGTCTGTGTTGTTGCTGGAGGTGTGTTCTAATGGAAGGTCCACCTGCTCCACTGTGCTAAGACTACCACCAGAGGTTTCCCCAAATGCAGTGGCTTTTTTGCCCGGCAGGCCAGATCTTTCATCACCTGCACAAGCCAGCTTTGACTGGTGGGCGGGGTCACCCACCTGTCAGCCAGCTGACATCATGACACCAGGTAGCTGGCAGTCCCACCCACCTACTGTGAAGTCAATCTGCGGGGGGGGGGGATGGCAAAGCTGCAGGCAGCAGGATTGAACCCTCTCCGCTCATCTGCTGGTGAGTGGGAGGGTTCAGGTGTTTAGGCTACAGTCGTCTGCTTTGCCAACAGGGACCCTGCAGGGAATGCACTGGTGAAGCAGTACCAGGTGAGCCTAGAAGTGTTATTGGATGGGAAAGTTACTGAAAGTAAACACAGAGACACACATTAACTGGGTAGCTCAGTCGGTAGAGCTTGAGACTCTTAATCTCAGGGTTGTGGGTCTGAGCCCCGTGTTGGGCAAAAGATTCCTGCATTAAGAACAAAGATAGCTCAGTTGGTTCGAGCGTGGTGCTGATAATGCCAAGGTCGCAGGTTCGATCCTCATATGGGACAGCTGCCTATTCATTCCTGCATTGCAGAAGGTTGGACCAGTTGATTCTCAGGGTCCCTTCCAACTCTGTGATTCTTTGATCCCCTCCACAAATGGTTCTCCCCTCCCACAGCTGTATTGCAGTTTCAGAGTCCCGGGGAGGCGGGAGAGGTTTGTTAAAAAACAAACTATCACAGGAGGAATTGGGAAAGGAGAAATCACTAAGGAAAGGACTCAGCATCCCTTTTCGACTGACCTTTTTCTGCTGCAAGCACACCCAGTAAGCACACACACACACACACTTCCCAGTATCATCCCAGGAGAGATGGAGGGGTAGGAAATCCTCTTGTCTAGATCTGTTCCTCAAACGTTTGGGATTCTGAGGAGCTTGCTTTAAAAGAACCCCCCTTTTATGCCGTTTCAGATTGAAGAGGAGCTGGCGGCCCTGCAGAAGGAACGCAGCGAGAGGATAAAGTTTCTGTTGGAAAGGCAAGAGCGAGAGATTGAAACTTTTGACATGGAGAGCCTACGGATGGGCTTTGGAAATTTGGTCACGTTAGAATTTCCTAAGGAGGACTACAGATGAGATTAAATTTCTTTTGCCATTAAAAAAACAAAAATGCAAACAAAAAATATCTCAAATCCCAACATTCCCCCCCCATGTTAACGGGTGTGCTCTCTCTCTTTCTGTCTCTCTTACTGACATCATGTCGGACTTAGTGCCTGTATATTCTTACTCCATCAGGGGCCCCCCCTTCCCGCCAAGTGTCACGTTTCAGAGCAGGACCATTGCTCCGCAGTCTCTCTTGAATCTCATAGTGTCTCACAGTATTGATGTCTCTGTGCAATGATTTTTTTTATTATTATTAAAAAAAAAACGTTTCAATGAAAACTTTGGAGACAATTCTAACGAATCAAAACAAAAAGTGGATGTATGTTTGCTTTTCAGCAATCACTCATATTTTTTTGCCACCTTACCAATGAAAATTCAAGCAAAAAAACAAAAAAACCAAGGAAGGAAAATTAAAAGGAGTCAAATTCCCAGGGGGAGAGAGATGGGTATCGCAGCCTTACCTTAATCAGCTGCTGCATAACGTTTTGAGTTTTTAATTTTATTATTAATTATTATTATTTCTTTTTTTGGTATTTATTCATCAGGAATAACTAAATGAAAAAAAATAATAATAAAAAAATTTTATTAAGAGATTGAGAAATTTGATACATTTTACAGAAAATATGAATTCTGAAATTGTGCTGTACATATCAGTGGTGGACATATTATTACTTTGGGGGCGGGGGGGAAAGGGGAGGGGGGTTGGGGAAAGAGGGAGAGCGTGATTTTTTTGAAAAAGGGTCAGGCCAGGCCAGGTGGGTTTTTTTGGCCGTTGGTCTTTGGCACATTCTTGATTGTATCATAATCATTTTCTGCTGTAGCAGAGGATGTGAATACACTTAAAAAAAAAAAAAAACTTAAGGCGCCCAGAGAATCCCAGGAGCACAAATTGGGCCTTGTCAAATTGTGTATTTTGTGTATAGAAGGAAATTTAAGGAGAAATTTACTTATTTTCATATTGTATTTTAACTGTTTCTCTGATCAGAAGTTTTTTTACTACCTGATGACTTGTTCCCCCCCTCCGACCCCCCCACCAACCCACCCACACTCCAGGCCACGCCGACACCCCCACCCACCCCTCCAAAAACCCTCCACCCTTCCTCTTTTCCAAGTCAATCTTTGGAGTTTAACACTGTCTCTCATTCTCACATCACCTTAAATCTTTCCTCCTCCTCCACACCCTCCCTGCGACCCACCCACAACTCCCACCTTTGGTTCCCCCCCTCCTTCCCCTCTCCCTGTCCCCCGATAATCTTGGTCATAAATATTGCATTATTCACACTTTCAAACTGTGTATTTTCTTACAATAAAAAAGGTTAAAAAAAAGGCTTTACTTCTTTTGCATGCACTTTAAAAAAAAATACTAAACGGAAAAAAGCAAAAAAAAAAAAAAGAGAAAACCTTTTTCAGGTTCTCAAAGGGAAGAGCATGATATAACTGTCAGAGCTTTTAATTATATTTGTAAATAAAAGTGTTGCTCACGAAGCTTTGCTGTCTCATTGTAGCAGGGGAAGCAGCTCTTTGCCCTGCGCTACCCCCTACCCACCCCATCTCTGGTCAGCCATGGAAGAGACTCGAGTGTGGCTTTCCAGCTCTTGTTTTACATCCAGCAACAGGAGAGGCTTTTAGCAGCAAACGCCGGCCCAATCAGATCCTCTGCTTTTGGGCTGGATGCCTCCCGACAACTCAAAGACAACTCAGATGTTGCGGGAGGAGGCAAGAGCAGGAGAGGAGCAGAGGAAATATTGTGTAAAGGGGCTTCTATCGTATATTGCACAGATGCTTTTACTGGTGCTCAGAAACACACCTGAAACTTTTAAGGCGAAGAGGAATGTAGCACACATTGTTCCAATACGGCCTTTCCCAGGCTTGAGGGCAGGGAGCCATCCTTCCAGTCCGCAGCCAAAACCGGCTGTGGACGGCGCTCATTGGATGGTTACTGTGATGTCACCAGGAGAACACCTATCCCAAGCCCCACATGGATTTGATTTCAGAAAGTATTTCTGTTGCGGATTATTTTGGCAAAGGGTGATTTGATAGATGGGTGAAAATGTATGCAATGAAAGAAAATGAAAAAACAAGCAGTTCGCCTGAAGAATGGGAGGATGGCCCAGGCTGATAGCTGAATTAGGAATCAGTTCATTGCTATGTACAGCAATCATTGCAAAAAGGAACATGGGGTTTAGCAGACCACCATGAGTCAACAGTGCGATGCAACAGAAAGAAAGAAAAAAGCTAATGCAATTCTAGGCTGCATTAACAGACATCCAGCATCCAGAATAGTACCACTCTATTCTGTCTTGGTCAGATCCCACTTGGAGTCCTATGTCCAATTCTGGGCACCACAGTTTAAGAAGGATATTCACAAGCTGGAACCTGTGCAGAGGAGGGCGATCAAGATGATCAAGGGTCTGGAAACCAAGCCTAATGACGAACGGTTGAAGGAGCTGGGGTATGTTTAGCTTGGAATAGAGAACCGAGAGGTGATATGAGAGGCATCTTCAAATACCTGGAAGATGGAGCAAGCTTGTTTTCTGCTGCTCCGGAACAGATGACCCAAACCAATGGATTCAAAGGACAAGAAGGAAGATTCCGACTAAACGTTAGGAACAACACTTAATGGTGGGAGCTGTTTGACAGTGGAGCACACCACCTGGGTCACAGAAGGCTTTTAAGCAGAGGTTGGATGGCCATCTGTCATGGATGCTTAAGCTGTGATTCCTGCATTGCAGGGGGCTGGACTAGATGACTCCTTGGGTCCCTTCTAACTCAAGATTCTATGAAATTCCTCAGCTGGCCTGGAGCTGGATTCACACCGCAGTCAAGGAACCAGCTGGGACTTCTTTTACTCCACCTGCCTGTACTCTTAAGGGCTCCAAAGGGAATTTGCTGAGGGGGGGGGGCTGGTCTGTCTTGGACCCATCAACATTCTTAGGATATTTTTAACCCTTTTCTTGTTGTTTTTTTTTTTTTTGCTTTTGTTGACTGCCTTATCTCTTTGCTCGTTCATTTCTGTTTCTACCCATCCACCCAAAGGGATCTCGGGAGCAACTTTGAAGGTTTCAATTCTGCCACAATTCTCCTTTTCTCTGCTTTTCTTCTTGGCCTCTGAGCAATATTGGGGAACTTCTTAGCAGAGAAACCCTCCTTTTTTGGGGGGGAACCCACCCGATCGCTGCCAGGAGCCTCTAGTCCTGCCAAGAACCAGGTACAGTCCAGAGATCAGTGGAGGCTGGTGCATGAGGCTGCTCATATTGCCCCTTCCTGCCCTGTCCCAGAGGTAGATAATCTTTTCGCAGCATGAGGTCCACATTCCTTTTCCAGCAACTTCCCAGGGGCCGCATGCCTAGGGCAGGCAGGTCTGAAGGCAAAATGGGTGGAGCAATTAAAGTACCGTATTTTTTGCTCTATAAGACTCGCTTTTTCCCTCCTAAAAAGTAAGGGGAAATGTGTGTGCGTCTTATGGAGCAAATGCAGGCTGCACAGCTATCCCAGAAGCCAGAACAGCAAGAGGGATCGCTGCGCAGAATATATTTTTTCTTGTTTTCCTCCTCCAAAAACTAGGTGCGTCTTATGGTCTGGTGCATCTTATAGGGCAAAAAATGCGGTGAATCTTACTTTTATACACTAGGCTAGCACCCACCCAAACACCCTTCTCTATTCCCCATCTAGGCAAGCAAGACACATTCCAGCTAGGCAGAAACAATGAGGGTCAGAGCAAGACCAATGATGTGTGTGGCTTGGGGGGTGTTCTGGGGGTCAGAGAAAGGAGCATGGAGGGTCAGGTGCAACCTCCAGGTCTGAGGTTCCACAACCCTGTTCTGACCAAAGCTGCCCATACTGTGTGCTCTGAGCTACCCCATGTTGCCCCTGCAACATAATAATAATAATAATAATTAATAATAATAATAATAATGTATTACTTTTACCCCGCCCTATCTGGCTGGATCTCTCCAGCCACTCTGCGCAGCTCCTAACAGAATATTAAAAGCATGCTAAAACATCAAACATTAAAAACTTCCCTAATCAGGGTTGCCTTCAGGTGTCAGATAGTTGTTTATTTCCTTGACATCTGATGGGAGGGCATTCCACAAGGTGGAGCCACTACCAAGAAGGCCCTCTGCCTGGTTCCCTGTAACCTCACTTCTCGCAGGGAGGGAACCACCAGAAGGCCCTCAGAGCTGGACCTCGGTGTCCGAGCTGAACGATGGAGGTGGAGACACTCCTTCAGGTATACAGGGCCACAGTTGTTTAGGGCTTTAAAGGTCAGCACCAAAACTTTGAATTGTGCTCAGAAACGTCCTGGGAGCCGATGTAGGACCAGTGTTATATGGTCTCGGCAGCCACTCCCAGACACCAGTCTAGCTGCCGCATTCTGGATTAGTTGCAGTTTCCGGGTCACCTTCAAAGGTAGCCCCACGGAGGGCACATTGCAGTAGTCCAAGTGGGAGATAACCAGAGCATGCACCAATTTGGTGAGACAGTCCGCGGGCAGGTAGGGTCTCAGTCTGCGTACCAGATGGAGCTGGTAGACAGCTGCCCTGGACACAGAATTGACCTGCACCTCCATGGATGCTGTGAGTCCAAAATGTCTCCCAGGCTGCACACCTGGTCCTTCAGGGGCACAGTTGCCCCATTCAGGACCAGAAAGTCCTCCACACCAGCCAGCCCCCTGCCCCCCAAAGACAGTACTTCTGTCTTGTCAGGATTCAACCTTAATCTGTTCTGTGTTCTTTCAATGCATGGGGAAGTCAGGAGCAACTTTCACCCCTCCCACCAGTCCCCTCCACGCCTTCCAGCCATGCGGGAGACAGTGAGCAGCTTCTCTGCAGCTTGCGGGCAGATTCCTGTTCGAGAAAGGAATCCACGTACAAGGATATTTGGGTTGCTTTTATTATAGAGCACCTGAAAAGGCCTGCCAAGTTAAGGGGAAACTGCCACAAATCTCACTGGGTTGCATTCTACTCAAGAGTAGACCCACTAGAGTCACGCCCACTGTTTTCAGCGAGAGTGTTCCAAGTAAGGCTTAACGTTGGATACCACCCTCTCTTTTTTTATTCAGTTGCAATGGGATTCACATGGCATGCTATTTGACGCCAAGCCGTTCGTAGATCTTTGGCACATGGCTGTCCCACTCGGCCTGGTAGCACATGCCTGCCACAGGCGCACCCAATCTGTACTTCTTGCGGAAGGACGAGGCTCGGAACTTCTCGCGCTTGGCAGCGGTAAGTTTGTTCAGGATGGGCTCGTCGCAGGTCAGTCGC